GATAGATTAGATATGTGAGTGTATCACTATTTATATCAAAATTTCTATTTCATTATTTTTGAATGATTGCTAGTTACTCTTATCACAAGCCCCCAATAATTCCTGTGTACGCCGTTAATACTGTACTGGAATGTAAATAAGTCTTACCTGGAGAACCTGCGCATTTGCCTGGAAAGCACAGGTTAACCCAAGAATGAAAAGAGCGATCTGAAGGGGTGTTCCAAACTTCATTTCGCAGCTTGCTTTACTGGATCTAAACTGAGAACCTAAAATAARAGAAAGACATTGAACAATTATTTTTAAGGTAATTCTTGCGTTTTATGCTGATACGTTAGACTACGTAAGGGAAGTAGGGGAAAAAATACACCTCCTCTACAAACCCCACTGCCCTTTCGTTTTTTTCCCTTCCCCTCTCTACTAGAGCCGCTACGCAGGCTACTGATACGCCAGATTCGAGATCTTATTTACGCAACCTTAACTTTTAAATGTGTAATATCATAAAATAACTATTGCATAAAGCGCGCATTGTTTGGTTGAGATGTACTTAAAACCGTGTTTCCGTGTGAAACTTTCAGGTCGTGATTCAAAACCTTTCTCGATCGTGTCACCGACCAACAATCCCCTGAGTTTCTAACAGAGAATGGCAACACAGAAAATATCTAATTTCTGGATAGAATTTTAGTTGCAACTGAGGCTATGGATTTGTAAAGCAGATTTTGAAACAAGAGGATTCGCAGTGAAAATAATGTTTAAGACTACGCACAATAAGCAGCAAAATTGTTCAAATGAACCAAACTAATGTCAAAGAAGGTAATTTTCTCTAAGATATCCGTTGTATGAGCTTAACTTTCGCATTCTGGAGTCGTGTTACGCGCGTATATTCACTCACTGAAATGTTGTAATTTTCAGATACTTTTCTTTTCCATTACAGCTAACATATAACCTAAAGTATTTTCCATTAAAGAAATTCCAACATGCCATTTATTCTAATTTGAAATGTGCTCTCTTTACATTGAAAATTAAACTTTTACAAAGACTTTTGGTTTATTTTTTTTTTCGTACGGAATTCAACAGAAAGCATAAATTCGCAAAAAGCTACGATTTTACACAGAGAAGAATTATTGTTATCGAGAGTTACCTTTGACAAGTGGTGCAATTGTTTGTCACTCCAACTCGTGGTTGCTTGAAGTCAACTCCCAATATGTTCCATAATAACTAACCTATATTGTACCTATCACTANAAAAGGCAAAGTGCAAATGCATACACGAGAAATGAAAGTCTGTTCAGCCGTTTTTGCTTTTTGTTTCCATTTTGTACGTGCACGTACGTACGTTGCTCGTGTGAGCTTATGAAACAAATCAAAAAATTCAATTTAGAAAATACTATATATAAATATTAAGAGAATACTAATTTTGCCAGGTACCACTAGTAGACGCAGGCTTCAAGTTTTAGAGATTATAAGAACCATTTCGTGGAACACACTGTGTCCAAGCTACTTTAAGTGTATAGAATTTTAACATGGATTGTGTCCCAGCACATATTTATTGTCTTCTTTGTACACAGAGCTTTTGCATTACAAATATGATCTCTGCAGAATAAAAGAATATATTACATGCTTTCGAGGTTAAAGGCTACACAAAACGGTTTAGAAAGTAAAACCTTTAAAGCGTAACCGTATATACCTAGGCATGACATGGAATTTTGCGGAACATGCTGCATTGATAAGTTTTGACCGGGTTATGAAGTCGATTATCGCATAGACCTTTTTGTGCTAGCTGAGGACATGTGGAAAACATGTTGTCAAATAGGATCTCCGACTGAAGTATATATAGGAAAGACGGAAAATATCTTTMATGCTTTTATATAAAATAACAACAACTCATCGCTTGAAAACCGTGTTTCTGTGCTCTCACAGAAACAAATTTTTTTGCACTGACATTTCAAACAACCAACGCGAGGGTAATATTTTTTTAATTTTTTTTTCACATCTAGCAAATCACTGTGAAAGTGAAAGTAAATGTTTTCGTTTGTTGTACTTTATATAGACTTTTGAAACGGTTTTTTCAATGGTTTTATGTTAGTCATTTTCTTGAACTGTTAGATTGCGTGCCAGGGTTTGTTTTTCCTTTAGTCTTAATGTGGATATATATAAAAAATCGTTTGTCTTCACAGTCAAACCAGAAGGGTGTTTGAGTACTCATGAATAAAATCATGTGCTAAAAATAGTATGGTTATCCTACTGAGCAACACGTAGCAAAAAATGTTTTTCTTCAGTGCTTTTCACAGATAAGGACGACGTTAGCCCACTTAAAATGTACTTAAATAAATTATCTATCTATCTATCTATCTATCTATCTATCTATCTGGAAAAACCTTCAAATCTAAGTTGCCATTTTGTAAAGCAACAAACGTTAAGTTTAATAAGCAACAATGCATTGCGGTCTTGGAATGCACTATGCATTACAAACTATTCAAAGTTTTCTTAAATAACTTATGCTAATCATGAAATTTCAGATGACTAGAAAACCTTTTTATCATTCTGAAATTATAAAAGTCACTTTCATATATATTTCAACGCATTTTAGGAATTTTTATTTTAATTCAAAATTTAAATGCTAATTTTTCCTGATGTTATTGATACATTCTTAACAAGAAGTTCAGTTGACCGACAATAATTCATAATAATATTTTTGAGTACTTCTTGTAGCATTGACAACAAAACGGTTGCAGTCATGTGAGTGTTCCTCAAGAGCCAATAATATTCAACTAAAATAGTGATAGGTACAATATAGGTTAGTTATTATGGAACATATTGGGAGTTGACTTCAAGCAACCACGAGTTGGAGTGACAAACAATTGCACCACTTGTCAAAGGTAACTCTCGATAACAACAATGCTTCTCTGTGTAAAATCGTAGCTTTTTGCGAATTTATGCTTTCTG